AACTTTGTTGGCAGCAGTCGGGAGTTTTTTTTGTAAAAAATATTATTATTTTCTAATTTTTTTTTTTCTAATTTATTTAATTAATTATTTCATTCTTTTAAAAGCTGTAAGCGCGAGCGTACTATCTTCATGTATACATAAAATACATTTTACATGATAGCATCGAGCGTTAATAAGTGTCTGCGCAGAAAATCACTGCAGAGATGTCAAATGAAATCAATTTTTGCTTCTTGCAGCAAAATAACACCATGTCACACCGAGATATTTATATTATATTCATGAATGAATAATAACTATTCGATGAATATAATAAATATGAATATATAGTTAATATCATTAATCAATACGAATGTTTGTATATTATAAAATAATTTTTTGATTTCTACTGTATATTCGTATGACTCATGTTATTAGCTGCAATTATTACAAAGTAGCATGATGTTTCTTCTATTCCTCATTCCTGCTTGTGATTATAATCATATATTATGGCCATTGGTGATTCCTCTACTCTTTCTTCAGATAATAAGACGCAACATTGCTGCCAACATGCACATTTAGAGTGCGGCGCAACTATGCTGCCCATATATGTACCGCAAGCTTCCTGCTACTCTTCTTTTTGCTGTTCTTATGCTGTTTCTTCATTCTTTTGTCTCTCTGCTTCTTCATCCTACACATGTAAAAGTTTTTATTATGTAATATATATATTACAATGTATATAATATAATAATAATAATAATAAAGACACACATACACTCACCATGTGACTGCAATGTTCTATATTCTTTCCAAATATTTTTCTGCTACAATTTTTTTAATTAATATAATATAATATAAATAGAGAGATAAATAAAAAAAATAGCTAGATAGATAGATTGATAGATAGAGAGAGACAGATGACAAAGACAGATGACAACAATATCTTATATCAAATACGTAAACTTGTACGCAGTTATAATTATGGCTTCGACAAATATATTAACTTTCTTATGGCTATATAAGTTTATACATTATGTAATCACAAGTAAGTTTATATATTTGTATAGCCTTAATTATTATTACATATGTGAATAATCTTTTGTAGTAGATAATTGGCTCTGTAAGTTAATATATTTGTCTGCATTGCCATAATTATTGGTGCGTAAGCTAATATCTTTGTATAACTATAAATATATTTGTATACATATTTTTAATTAATTATATAATTATTATATAATATACAAATAAGAGAGAAAATAACTATATACATTTATACAATTATATATGTGGATATTTATAGCAATGTGGCTACGCAGCAAATTTAATAGCAAATAAGTGGCTACGCAGACAAATATAAATTCATATAGCCATGTTATGACTACAACAGATTAATTATATTATTAATTATATTATATATTTTTATTAATTATTAATAACAAGACTTACTCGTTTTCTATTATTAATAATGTTTTCTTCTTCAGATATCTCCAAGCGAGTATCTTCTTCCTACATATAAATAAAGAAACAATAAATAAATAATAATAACAATATCCTAAATAAAGAAAAAAACAATAAATATAAAAGAAGAAACTTACTCCTTTATTTATATCTTCTTGAGATATATCCATAATAATACACTTCACTTAATATTGTTGTTGACAATAACACGCAACAGGTGACAGCTAACCTATCCTATCAGTCCCGCCATTATTACTTCGAGATGTATATACCAATGTCACCAACATTCCCTATCCGGATACTACAACGAATCTCATTGGTGAATCATTTTTCCTCTTAGGTTCACACAGCAGCCAATGAGAGACCGTATTGACGAAATAATACTCATTTTTTACTTTTTATTAATAGAATAAATAACGATAATAATACGCTTTAAACCTTCCTTGATTAATAAGAAACTTATGTTCCAAAGTTGATATAAAACTATGCAGTAGTTATCGAGAATTAAGGTCACGACCGATCCGGGCTCGATGAAACGCATACTCCCTCTCTTTTCGCCAACCTACGGTTGGCAGCAGTCGGGAGAATTAATTAAATATAATTAAGTTAAAATTCCGATTAACACATTTTGCAGTATATCTTTGTCTATTAAAAATATTAGTAATAAGCGGCGAATTATGTTGCACAATTTGAAAGTTATGTAATATAATTTAATAAATATTAATATTAAAACTGATATTTTATTTAAATAATTTTATTGAAATTAAAGAATTTTTAAAAAGTGCGAGGGAAACCTCAGCGACTCACAATTTGGGTTCAGACAGGGGTTAGGCACGAGGGAATCAATAGTAGCAACACACGCCCTGGTGCAAAATTGTTATGACCAGAGGAAGGATGTATGCCTGTGCTTTATAGATTATGAGAAAGCGTTCGACAAAGTTCAACATCATAGGCTTATGAAGGTTCTCAGAAAAACAGATATAGATACAAAGGACATTCAATGTATTGAAAGCTTATATTGGAATCAAAAGGCACGAATCAGGATTGACGGGGAAGAAACCAACGCGGTTGAAATCTACAGAGGGGTCCGACAAGGATGTGTTCTCTCACCCCTTCTGTTTAACCTATACTCTGAGGTTATTTTCCGAGAGGCACTCGAGGATATTGAGAAGGGCATAAAAGTGAATGGAGAATGGCTAAACAATATTCGATACGCAGACAACACAATGGTAATTACAGACAACATGGACGATCTAGAACAACTTCTTGACATAGTAGGACAGCACAGTAAAGACATGGGATTGAACATCAACATTAAGAAAACAAAATTCATGGTTATCACCAGAGAACCGGACAAGTTCAGAAACGCTAGCTTAAAACTAGAAGGCAGACCGATAGAACGAGTAAATAGATTTAAGTACCTGGGAACGTGGATGTGCGAGGATTGGACGTCGGAGATGGAAGTAAAATGCCAAATAGAAATGGCTCGCAAGGCATTCATGAAATTTAAAAAAGTTCTCACCAATACGGACTTCGATCAAAATCTGAGAATGAGATTCATTAGGTGCTACATATGGTCAGTGCTTCTATATGGAATGGAGGGATGGACACTGAAAGTTTCTGAAATGAATAGACGGCATTCGAAATGTGGGTCTACCGCAGAGTCCTAAAGATACCGTGGACGGCGAGAACCACCAATGGAGATGTCTTGAAACGATTGGGCAAGGATCGGGAAATATTGACTACAATAAAAAGGAGGAAAACGGCATACTTGGGCCACATCATGCGTAATACAAAGTATGAGCTGCTACAAAGAATTATACAGGGAAAGATCGAAGGGAAAAGAGGATTAGGACGCAAAAAACTGTCTTGGCTTCGAAATATTAGACAGGACTGCGCACGGTGGAGGAGTTGATCCATGTGGCGAGAGACGAAGAGAGGATGCAGGAAGTGATCGCAAACATCCATTAGTGGATAGGCATACGAAGAAGAAGAAGATTGAAATTAAAATGTTGATTTACACAAGAGAGGAAGGGCGAGAGAGAGAGAGAAAGAGAGAGAGAGAGAGAGAGAGAGAGAAATTGTGTTGTGATTTAATGTGAACTAAAAAATATTAATCAATCACAAATTTTATATAATAACATATTTAATGTAAAAGATATTTAAATATTGAACATATAAGCACATAATTATAATTAGTTGATATATAACTTTAACATATTACTAATTCTTATAGTTATACAAACATGTTTTATATATACATGTATTCATTTATTAATATATTATATTGTAGTGTAATTATTAGTATGTGTAATTATATAATTAATATATAATATGATCTATATAATATATACATAATATATAATATATAATATTATTATTTTATATGTGCCAACACACACACACACATACAACCATATATATATAATGTAGATAATAACGATTTTAATAACACGTATATATATATAAATATGTTGACTGTAAATTTTTATAATATTTAATACATGTGTATGTGTGTGTGCGTATATAAACATATATTTTTATTAATTCACCTAAAAATTAAAAACAAGTCAATTTGTAATTCAAAATTAATAGATAGTGCATTTAACAATTAAATTTATATGTATATATATTTACACATTTTTATTTTTATTTGATATTTAACAATAAAATTTATAGTAATATTATATTTTCTTGTGAACACAGGCAATAATATATAGTTCAATTACATTAAGCAAATTCACAAAAAATGAAAAGCTTGATGCATGTAGTCATAAAGATTTGTAAATACAGAGGCATCGAATAGTAATACATCTAAATAAATAATAATTTACGCAATAAAATTAATAATACATACAATATATAAAAATGGTTAATATGAAGTATATCCACGCGCACAATGCAAAGCTACAATTTTTTTTACTTTCATCAATAAAACATCCTATCAAAATACTTATTCATTTGTCTTTCGAGTTGATTTTTGCGAATTGACATTTTGCTTCCAATTTTATCAGAATTCTCCATTATGAAAGCCTAATATATATAAACAAAGATTTGCACAATGAAATTAATATATACTTTTTATATAATAAACAAAACTAATATAAAATTAATATTCAGTAATTAATAAGATAATTAAAGCAATAAAATAAATAATACATATAATATATAAAAATTATTAATATGAAGTATATCCACACACACAATGCAAAGCTGCAATTTTTTTACATCTACCAATAGAAAATACTATTCAAATACTGTCTTTGTTTTTCGAGTTGATTCTTGCGTAATGATATTTTGCTTCCAATTTTATCAGAATTCTGCATTATGAACACCTAATATATATAAACAAATATATAAACAAATATAAATATTTAGAAATTAATAAGACAAAACAAGATTTTTGCTTTTTTTTTGCTTTCCATAATAATATTTATTAAATTTACCTTTTCTTTTATTTCAGTAATTACGTGTACATTATCCTTCAACCATTCAACGTATTTGTTTATTTTCTAAAATGTATTATTTTTTAACTGTATTATTTTTTTATTAATAAACAACGTTATTATGTAACATTATCAAAATTATTTAATATTAAATAATAATTGTTAATGTCGCATTATTCTCACGATTTGTACACATACATATATAAACATGTAAAATTTTTACCTGAAATAGATTTACGGTATATATGTTATTAATAATAACAGTAAATGCTACAGTTATATCGACATATCTAAAAACGAAAAAACAAATATATATTATAAAGCACAATACATTTTGGTACCAAATATTTATAAAAATATGTCACATTACTTTGGTTTTATGTCCAAAAAAATATCTAATATGCACGACAGAATAGTTGGATTCGTTGCATGCTTCGTAATAATGGGTAAGAAACTGTTAAGATGATAATGATATTCTCGATGTGTAATATTTTTATATGTTAAATAGTTCCTAATCATAACAGTATCTTCAGTGCAAGCCAAGTATTCTAAAAATTTAGTGTCAAATTTGTTCAATCCTATATTGTACACAGATTGCCAAGTCTCGTTCGTGGCTATCATCAAACCTTTACAATATGTCCATTTCTTCCACCATGGCAAAAGTCTAAAACATAGTAAAAAATTAAATTTTTTAATTGAAGATTAGCATACGGATCTTTTGATCAAATCATTTGAACATTATAGGCGATACAAGAGAATTTGATTAAGAAAGGCTAAAAAAATATATACATATCGAAATATTTACTTGTGTTTTGTAGGATCTAGGAGATGATGTTCTAATTTCCTGTTGGCTACTTCCTTACAATTGAGGTCATCGAGAAAACATGCCCATCTTGCAGCTTCTTGTCGTAAACATATTGTAAGTTGGTCTGTATCATCAATTTCTTCATATTTGATTCTTTCAAGTAGCGCGCGTAAAATGTATCTTACTCTCGTCTAAAAATGGTTAAATATACATTTATTTGTTCATATTATAAATGTATTTACAAATTATTATATTTTTTTAATTATTTTCTAATAGATTCTTAAAATTTTCTCTTTCTAGGAAACAAACATACATACAAATTCACTTAAGCCAAAGACGCTAACGTTTATCTATTCACGTACATATACATATACGTGCAATTATATATATGTATTATACATGTACGCAAAAATATGGTTTAATTTGTGCGAAATATTTATAATATTTAATAGATAATAAAGTTTCATAAAACTATTATCAATCATATTTTATTTTTAAATAAGATATAAAATTAATATATCGTTTTAAAATATATATAATTAAATTTTTCCAACTCAATATATATGTTTAATTTTTTTTTAATTACTAACATGTAAAATTGATGTAAAGCCAATATAATTGTATTTATTGACAAAGATTAAGCACCTTACTACATATCGATAATGTTATATACAATAATATGTGGAGTAGTTAAAATCATAGACTTTTTGGACAGTTCTTCGAGTGATTATTCAAGTGATTATTCAAACTAAATTTGTTTGCACATTGTTTGCGACATAATAGTATGTAAAATCTTATCGTTGCTGGAAATATTTTTCTAAGTATTTAAATTATTTGTGATCAATGAATGTATATGCAAATATTTAAAATGTAATCCTTTGAGATCTGAAAGTTGTGACGGTTAAACGTTCTGTTTTGTCTTCAGTAAAAAACTTTGTTAAAAAGACGTCGGATCTGATACTTAAAACTGTTGTAAAATTATCACCAATTTGTTTGAATCTCAATTTAATGTTTAACAACATTTTATCATGAGGATTCAATCAAGATATCTTTCTTGACCAGTAAATCAAAAAGTCTATACTCATAAGTGATTGCATGGTACGGTCGCTCGAACTCAGTATGTATCAGTAATGGTGGTTGTCATACACGATGACTTGTTTAGCAACATATGTAACGAGACAAAAAACTGACTTTTTATATATTTATTATCTTGACATTGTTAATTACCGTCTATAATGTTTTAATATTACAATTCAATTTATATTAAAATATTTGTATTGCGCTGAAGAAGGCTTGAAATGTCAGCCGAAACGTTCGCATAAATGTTTATTTCTTATGTATTTATTATTTTGTTTAAATAAATTTTATTGATATCATCTGACAACTGTATTATGTTTAATAGCTCTTATAGCCCTTCTTTGTTTACAATTATTAAGTTTAACAAAGCTAATTACTATTTTCATTTAAAATGTAATATTTTCATTAAAATTTATTAATATTTACCGTAATATATCCCTCCATGTTTTCCCATACACGATGAGTACCATATACGTATTCCATAGCTTTAAACATAGGATACCATGCCACATAATCTTCTTCTCGATGCAAATACTCTATGAGATCCCATAATATATAGAATTGGAGTTGGCCTGCTATCATTAAATGAAATGTATCATCGATTATTTGGGCACGATTAAGAACATGAATTTTCGTGTAATTATCTAATTTTAAATAACATGAAATTCTTCGCCAATTCTCATCATCATAGTTAACGCGATAATATTCTGTCGAATAGTAAATAAATTTTATCAATTTTTATTGTTTTAAATAATTTTATCAGAATACATTTTCAAATATTTTTGTTTTATAATTTTGTTTATATAAATTATAAATGAAAAACGTACCAAAAATTGAATATAAATAAAATGATAATATATATAGAAAATTAATTATAAAAATGTCATTTTAATACTTGAAATAGTAAAAAAATGAAACTGTGCAAGATATTGTTATATATCATAATATAAAATAAATTTTATAAATATAATTATCCTTTTAATAATTTTTGCTATTATTAGAATAAAATATATTTGTAAAAATATAACATTAATATTGAATGATATTATTTATAGAAAACATCTACGTACATTTTAAATATAATATTATGGACATAATAATGCAGAATATGACAAAAAGCATTTTAAAACTATTATAGTTATTTAATGAATATTTCAGATTTTTATAGGACAATGAATAAAATAGATAAAAATATAAAACAATATCAATTATGTGTGTGTAAAATAAAAACGAGAAATATGTCATAATAAATCCATTGGTCGATATTTACCAATTTGTTGTATATTGAATATCATCCAACCATCCTCTTTAAATGGTAATGATAATTTTAAATCCTTTGATATGCATACCATATGATGAGTAAAATTGTTAAAATCGAGAGACGCTTCCGTAGTAAAAGTTACAGGAATGCAGCCAATTTTTAATGTGTCGATATATTGTATCGATACATTTACTTTGCTTATTATCTCTCTATCATGATAATTTCGTACTGCTTTAATCACGGGACAATGTTTTTCCAAAGACCAATCTTCTATTCTTCTTAGTTGTTGAGTAATATTTGGATTCATTGTTGAAGCAACAATTTTTGTAATATTTACAAAGCCTATATCATGTAATTGGCTAAATTCACAAAGTATGTAAAATATATAAAAAACATTACAAATATATGTAGGCGTGCGATTATTTTCGAGAGTATGTATCACGCCATCATATTATTGTCGCCTTGTCGTCTCGTCCTCGTGTTCGATTATTTATTTATATTTATGTTACCGTGTGCGAATAATAAGAGATTTGATCCGTGTAGAAAATAACAGATGCGACCGTTCGAAAACAAACCAGAGCACGGGTTAGTTGTCGCTTAGCGATTGGCTCAAGTATGATAGGAAGGGATTATTAGGGAAATTAGGAGCGATATAAGTATCAGCGATTTTTGGTAGACATATACACATAACGCTCTCTTTTTGGACACTCTCTCTTACGATCGAGGACCGCCGAGGTCGGAGCGACGGCGAAGAGACAAGGGAACATTTAGTATTTGGACGACAAGAGGCACCTTGAGTTCGCAATAAATACATTATACTCTAATTATAATTCCTTATTTGATCCGGATTCTTTCCTGACTAATTAATCCGGTCTCCTTATATATATATCTATTTTGTCCACAATCGTTTATCCGCCTACAGTTTATCAGAAGTGGGATCGAGGCGTTGCATCCGGATTCGCGAATTCGACTGGAGACAGGCGATTTCGGGATTTGTTCGCGATACGTGTCGAGTGTGAGACGCGCAGGTGGAGACGATTGACGCGTGGTGATCGTCGGGTTGCGTGAGTATCGTGGACATCGCGGTGTGCCGAATAGTCGAGCGAATCGGAGTGACAGCAACGATGCAGCCAAGTGACTTTACCATTGCCGAGATGAAGGAGGCTCTTCGCGAGAGGGGACTGACGTTAGGAGGATCAAAGGCCGAGCTCATCCAGCGGCTGAACACCAACGACTCGGGTGTGTGGACGAAATTAAGCGATCAACGGAGGCAAGCGATTTGTTCGGATGACATCCTGGATTCGGAAACTGCGCGTTCGCCCAGTGAACAAGGTGACGCTATGGAGATGGAGACCGTGGACGACACCCCGAGACTAGTGGATCGAGTGAGCATGACGACGCCGGAACCGAGAGAGTGTGACGACGCGATGCAGGCAGAACTTTTGCTACTGCGTCGAGAACGAGAGATTTTGGAGAGAGAGCGGCAGTTACTTCAACGAGAAATAGAAGTAATGAGAAGTGCAACCTCCACACCGACGACAACGAACGGCAGTGTCATTTCTGCGTTCGGCGGTGTGAGGGGAATTAAGGAGTTGCTGCCTGAATTTGACGCAACGGATAGCACCTTCTGGAGGTGGAAGCAGCAGTTGGAGTTATTGAGACGCACGTATCAGCTGGACGATAATTCGACGAGAGTGTTAATTAGCTCTCGGTTGAAAGGCCGTGCGTTGTCTTGGTTTCACTCAAGGGCCGAGCATGTGACACTGGACCTGGGGGACCTTCTGCGAGAGATGGAGTCAATGTTCGATCTGCGACCAGGAAAATTGACGCTGAGGAGAGAATTTGAGGCTCGCGTGTGGAAGAGAGACGAGCAGTTCTGTGATTATTATCACGAGAAGGTGATTCTCGCGAATCGCATACCGATCGCGGAAGACGAGCTCCTCGATTATATCATCGAGGGAGTGACCGATCCTCGTCTGCAGAGCCAGGCGCGCCTGATGAACTTCCAATCTAGAAGAGAATTATTGAAGGCGTTCGAAAAGGTGGTTCGAGTACATTCGGAGAGACCAGACGTCCGACCGAGGGGAGACGGAGCGAGGACAACTAGCGGAGGAAGAGCGGAGACATCGACACGGGGAGACTCGACGAGGTGCTACAGGTGTCGCGGAGCAGGACATACTGCGGATCAGTGCGTGCGACCACAGGCAAAGCGAGTGTGTTTTGTGTGCGAATCTCCGGATCATTTGGCTAGGGAGTGTCCGAAGCGAAGTCGGTCCGCGGCGTCGGAAACGCTGAACAATGGTGCGCAAACTGCGTCGATGAACGTCGTACAACCTGTCGCGTTGTTAAAACCTTATACGATTACCGTAAAAATTATAATGGAAAACGAGAATAACGGGTTCAATAATTACGTGGTGGATGCAATAATAGACTCGGGTTCTCCAATTAGTTTGATCAAAAGCGAGATAATTCGGGGCGACTCACGTCTGCTCGCCGGTGAGAGCATCGATCAGTTTTGCGGAATTAACGGCTCGCAGTTAAATATTGACGGTATTGCTCACGCCGATTTGGAGGTAAAAGGCGTGCGCTTGAAAATGAAATTTTATACGGTGCCTCCTAATACGATGGCGTATAGCGTTTTGCTCGGTAGGGATTTCTTGAATTGCCCGTCGCTGCGCGTAACGTTAGGACGAGATCTCGAAATTGCGAATGCTGAAGAAGCGCGTGTTGTCTATCAAATGATGCATATCGAATGCGACGACAATGCCGCATGTTCACGCGAAGAATCGAAAATTAATCCGGACGTTGATAAAGATACAACCGAAAAGATCTGCGAGATCTATGAATCTGGTTATTTAAGTAATCTTCGAGCGGAGAAGTGCGTGCCGGATTTCGAAATGATTATCGCACCGAAACATGAACAACCGATAAGTATGCGCCCGCGGAGATTATCGGTCGCGGACAAGGAAATCTTACGCGAGATTGCGACGAGAGACACCGACGAGAATATAGAGCCTGTTTTGAATTATCCTGTACCACGTAACATCAGGGACGTACATAGGTTCGTCGGATTCGTGAATTATTTTCGTCAATTTATTCCGAGATTTTCATTGGTGGCAAAACCATTGTACGATTTGATTAGAAAAAACTCTGTCTTTAAGTTTAGCCGTCACCTGTTTGTTGTCATTGACGCGTTCGCTAAATTTATCCGGCTCTACCCGCGTAAGTCGACAGCATCGGAGGAATCGATAAAGTATCTCTGTGAATATTTCCGCGCGTATAGTAAACCGAAACGTTTAATTTCGGACAGAGGAACTTGTTTCACATCTGACGTATTTAAGAGATACTTGGAATCCGGTGCCATAGAGCACGTATCAATCGCTGTGAGCACGCCGAGAGCAAACGGACAGGTGGAAAGATTTAATAAAACGATAACTGGTATATTTGCGCCCGATCAAATGCGTCCGTATATACATTGTATAATGACTCAGAATTGAGTAAATTGTTCGTCGGACAACGCGATACTTCCCTAAGGGTGGAATCGAGACTTGCGTATTTTATTTTGCTTTATTTTATCGTTTGACCGAGACGGCCAAAATGTCAGAATGGCCGAACTGTAGGCGTGCGATTATTTTCGAGAGTATGTATCACGCCATCATATTATTGTCGCCTTGTCGTCTCGTCCTCGTGTTCGATTATTTATTTATATTTATGTTACCGTGTGCGAATAATAAGAGATTTGATCCGTGTAGAAAATAACAGATGCGACCGTTCGAAAACAAACCAGAGCACGGGTTAGTTGTCGCTTAGCGATTGGCTCAAGTATGATAGGAAGGGATTATTAGGGAAATTAGGAGCGATATAAGTATCAGCGATTTTTGGTAGACATATACACATAACGCTCTCTTTTGGGACACTCTCTCTTACGATCGAGGACCGCCGAGGTCGGAGCGACGGCGAAGAGACAAGGGAACATTTAGTATTTGGACGACAAGAGGCACCTTGAGTTCGCAATAAATACATTATACTCTAATTATAATTCCTTATTTGATCCGGATTCTTTCCTGACTAATTAATCCGGTCTCCTTATATATATATCTATTTTGTCCACAATCGTTTATCCGCCTACATATATTAAAATTGTCTATATAATGTTAATATTATAAAAGACTTTAACAAACACTAAAAAACAAATTATAAAATTGCACTTATATATATATATATTTATATATCTTATATTTTATTCTAATAATAAATAATATAACACAATTTTAAATGAAATTTAATAATTTTATTTAATTTTTTAGGTATTATTAGCATTAATACAGACTATATTTGAGCAAAGTATTGAGAGAGTATAAAATCATTAAAAGAAAAAACCAAATATAAAAAATAACCAAATAAAAATAGAACAAATAAGAAATTGAAAACAAAAAAAAATAAGAAAAATAATGTAAAGGCTCGATTTACGAGATAAGGAAATAGAAATAAAAAAGTAATTGAGAAGTGATATAAATGTTACATATTTAAAAACCTGTTAAATAAGATTAGAAAATAAATGTAGCACATAATCCAATTAAAAAAAAAAGATATAAGAATTATAGACAATATAATGAAATATAGGAGATAAATAAAAAGAATAAAAATTATTTCAAAAATTACTTTAAAAAATAACAAATCATGAAACAAAAATAAAAGAACAATAAATATGTATATATGATAAAGTAATAATGGAAAAACAACAATTACTTTCTCCAGAAACGGTTTTCATAGGAAGAGTAATGAAATTAAAAATAATTCTAGTAGAAGATCTAGAAGAATAGCGGAATTGTAACACTAAGAAAAAGACATTATAAAATAACGTCAGAAAAAACGAAAGGAAATAAGGGACATTATATAAAACTTCTATTATTTTACATTATTTGTTGTATATATTTATCTTTTTGATATTATATTCTATATTGTATTACTCACATGTTATATGCATATAAACCTATGAATCTATGAAAAATTTCTTCGGTGAGAATGTGTTGCATCATACGTAGTATAAAGGGTGCTACAATTTACATCAAAATTATGAATTAAATATATTACAAATATATATTTATTTTGATGGTTATTTGAAAACAACGATTTTTTAAAGGAAAATTATATTGTATATATGTATACAGGGTAGTAATCGCCTAAGAGTGAAATGTTTTTTACTGCCGCACCGTTCATTATTTTATTTATAGCAAATCTTTGAAGAACTATTTAATTAATTTCCTGTACCTACATATGTGTGGCTATTACCGGACACTGTGTGTGTGCGCGCGTGTGTGTGCGTGTGCGTGTGCGTGCGTGCATGTGTGCGTGCGTACGTTTGTGCGTGAGCGTGAGCGTGTGCGTGAGCGTGTGCGTGTGCGTGAGCGTGTGCGTGTGCGTGAGCGTGTGCGTGCGTGCGCGCGCGCGCGTGTGTGTGTATCGCGTGCCCGCGTATGTGTATGTACTTTTATAAAATAATATTTAATTAAAATCCAGATAAAGAATTAATTATTTTCCAACTTAACACATATTTATAATAATAATAGTTAAAAATTATTTTATTATATTATGTCATATTTCTATTATATATTATGTCATACCGCGGACTATTTTATTATATTATGTTATACCTCTGATAGATTGGCGAATTTTCAATAAACTGTCATCTTGTGAAGTAGAAGGCCACATATGATTACCATCCAAATTAAAAGAGTAATGTTGATTTTGAACAACAAATAAATTCATTATTCGATAATCTGGATAAGCCTATAAAAAAAAATAATTAATTTATTGATATAACCGTTCTGAAAATACTTGTATCTTGTATTAAATTCAAATACTAATATTATTAACGTTACTTCATAATTAAAACAAAACACATTCTCATTAAAAAATATAATAATAAAATTTAGAATTTTGTATTAATATAATTAGCAAATATTACATATTTTTTAATTATATTGTTTCATGATATTATATTGCAGACTTCTTTTTATCAAATTTTTTAAATAAATTTCATGTGTACTAGTTTTGATTAATTTATTTTATTTTAAATTTCATAAAAAATTAAAAATATCTAATAAAGTGTTAAAAAATAAAAATTTTTAATAAATAAATTATAAATATATGTGTGTAAATATGTGAGAAAAAGTATTTTTTTAAAAACAATTGATTATTTTATATAATGCTAAATGTTTTTAAGACAAAGGATGCATATAGATTTTTTAAAAAGGGTTTTGATTTAAGAAAATCTTGCAATAAGAATACTTAAGTATTGTATCGTTTGCGAGAAGGTGGGAGCGAGATTGCGTTGATAATATTTAGAATAACCTTATTGACAGTATACGTTGCAAGCAATGTAGTAAGACCTTTTTTAAGCCAAAAATCCGATAGTAATGGATTGTTCATCATGTTATTAAACCATTGCTGTGTCACTTTACGTCCTACTAATTGAGCTACTTCGATTTTCTGAGCAATAGGATATAAATTTTTATCGTAGATGATATCTGTTTCCCTGAAAGTTATATTTAAATGTTAAGATTGAGAACTTTTACAGAAAATACAACTTTATTTTTGTTACAATATTTTAATTTAATTGTTAGGTGTACGATCTACAAACTCATGGGTACAATTTAGCAAATCAGTATTGTAAATCGTACCAAATAATAATTTTTTTATTTTCTAATTTACAATATGAAACAACGATAAAAATTCTATTTATGTGTATATCGTTTGACAAAGAACAATAATTTGAAATAAATAAAAAAATGTCATTTCTTTTATAGCTTTATTGCAGTTTTAACATCTTCCTTAGGGGGTACGATTTTTAGCATACTTACTTTACCCTTTATATACTTATTAAAATAGTAAACTTTAACTTTGTAATAATATGAATAAACTTAATTCTACTAAAATTAATTGTTTTCGCAATTCCTTATATTTTTGAACGTTTACAGAAACAAAAGATATACATGTTTTTAAATTTTATAATTTTGCATATAAATATAATTTTATTTTTAATGCAATTTGAAGCACCTGTTCTCACCTATAAAGAACAAGTCCGAAAACTATTATGCCTTTGTCATGGAAATTTGGAATTGCAACATGATCCACCTTCGATTCCAATATGGAGAAAGCTTTCCAATCATATTCAAGAAAACCTCGTGATACGTATAGTTACATTTTTGCAAATTCTATGTGAAATCGAGATTCGTTTCTGCACCACATGTTAATGATTTCAATTTTGGTCTTAAGTGGGAATAGGTAATTAGACACAATCATTGTTGCAAGATAAGGCAACATTACAGGTGTGGTATGGAAGTGTCTCCATAACAAATTATCCGCATGTTCTTCCGTATTTCGCAAAGCATATTTGACAAAGCCGTGCATTGCATTGCTCCATGTTAAACAATAAATTTTGTTGATTCGGACATGAAAACGATTGTTGAGCGCTTATTATCTGGAAATGCGGAGTAGCTATCCAACTACATTTCAAAGAACATAAATTAATAAAACTTTTTGACAAACATTAAGATATTGAGAATTAAAAACTGTATATATGTTATATGCGTCAATGCAATTATTTTATGACTTTGTTATATATTATTATAATAATAAATATAAAGATTGTTTGCCTTTAGATTTAAATTCTGCGATATATAATAATTTTTGGGACATTTAATACATAAATAGTATATTAATTACAATTCTTATGTAATTGCATATTGTACTCTTTTTATTAATATATTGTACTCTTATATATTAATTGACATTAGTTATTTACTTACGCAGTTTTTTTAACGTCGAATATTATGGATTCTTGATCAACAGTTGTTTTAATGTCGAATATTCTGAAGCCTTTATTAGCAGTACCCAAATATTTTATATTTAATATATAATTTCCTGGTGATAACTCATCCATAAAGGAAATATCAATTGTGTCTTTTTAATATTATATGTCGATTTATAAATAGTATCATGATATTTTTTCCAAATTTGTAAATAAAACTATATTTTTAATACATAATTGTTTGAATGTAAATATATGTGTGCATTTTTTCGAAACGACTATGCTGATATTATATTCCCCATAGAAAATATTTCCTTCAATAAATGTTGAAAGCATGATATCGTAATGCTTTGGTATTACATATTTTGATGGTTTATAGCATAAAGATTCATTACGAGTGAAAGCCGTCGCAGCGATAAAATTAATCCGCTACTTAATAATAGTTTAAAAATATCATCATGTCGGAGAAAGGGAATATTTATTTTAGATCTGTAAAACACTCTGAACAAAAGATAAATAATGAAATTAAATATAGCTTAGATCTCTTTAAACAATTCTGTATATAAATAAGAAAATAAATACAAAAAAATATTAATGTTATTAACTGAAAATCCTAACTAGTAAATATTATATGATGAGGAAACAAAGTGTAAATTTCTATTTGCACAATTTTTTATAAAAAAATTATATATATATATATGTATTTCAGTGTCGCACATATTTTAATTGACAACAAAATAGAAATATTAAAATTACAATATATTTTATATTATCTTTAAATAATTAATTTCATTGTCAAAAAATTATTTATTACATTTAAAATTTACAGAATATTATTTAGAACATAAGGATTTATAGTATATAAAGTGTTAGTTGTCTGAAGTAAATTACTTTTATAAACACAAGAGCCATTACTTCTACATACATATATACCTGTGGTACATTCAAAATAATAAGAAGAGAAGTAGAGATAAGAAATACTGAGCAGCGGCGAGAGAAAGAGAGAGATAGAGTATATACATGTTTATTATTATGTTTGATTTCTTTTTTGATTTCTTCTCTTAAACTGTGTATTATAAACACTAAACGAACATTCACCGAGAATTAAGCTAACATAAATTTATTTTAAATTATATCAATTATAAACTTAATAATAAATACTTAATAATTATATACATAATACATATATATAAGATGTCCAGAACTTGCAATATACCTTTTAAAATCAGATATCTGAGATATTTGAAGACGATTTTTCCTCAGCAGAGAATGTCAAAATACCAATAAATTCAAGTTATACGCAATTAAAA